GGGGGTGTGGGTGGTGGGCGTTAGTCCGTCCGACGTCCGCGGTAACACAGACGGTAAACTACACGCCAGCCCAAGCTTCACAACTTGTGCTGATATGCCGAGTTCGGACATGCCTGCTGTTGAACTGTACGCTCACAAGTGAGACGCAGAGCGTGGGGGAGGGGGGGGGGTATAGCAGCGTATGGGCTATAAATAGGTACTGGAACTATTTCATTTCAATTTGACGTGTTCTGCACGGATGGAAGTAAAATTAGGTCCCCCATCTAGGGCTTCTCCTCGCGTTACCCTTACTTTGTCCACTTTTGTGGTTATACTGCATCGTATATTTCGCACGTCGCACGCACGCATGAGATCGGGTACGCTTAAGCATGTGTTTTGGGACAGTCCCCTCTGCCAGAGGGTAAAGGGACTCCTCCCCCCTTCCTCCCCCGCCCCTACTCACCGTCTCCCTGTAGCACCAGTGCGCTCAGTTGGGGCGTTCCGTTTTGTTGTTGTTGTTTTCTACGTGTTTCGATGTGTTTCTGTGTATTATTATCTATTTTGAAGTACTTGTTTGTGTCTGTGTGTACAATGTATATGTGCAATCTACATGTAGTTTTGCGATTCGGCCCGCCTCTCGGGATTTGCATATCATCTGACTACGCCTACGCCTTACGGTTCGAGCGAAGTCCCCCCTCCCCCTTCCCCCCGAGCACGCGGAACAGTAGAACCAGTAAGTCAAGATGAATCAGCCGCCGCGTATTATCGAGTAGCGCATGGTTATACACTGCGGCATCACCATCAAATAGTGTATTTTTCGACTAACGGAGGAAGAATTATAGAGCGGGTTGAACATAAACGTTACCGATTGGTCGAGAGCTTCCCGCCTCTTCTACGTCACGCCCGGTAGTGGGGGTAAGCGCTCAGCCGATCAGGAACCTTTATGTTCTACCCGCTGTTCTTCTTCTCCCGTTAATCAAAACATGCAACCGAATGTGCATTGCAACACATTACTCAGAAAATAATAATGAGACATGCGTGAGTGACGTGATGGCTCACTCTGCTCTCATGTGGCATTGCGTAGCTATGCAAAACACAACGAATGTGACGCAGTAATCTAACCATAACGGGGAACGAATTAAAGTCATTTAAATTTGACGCCACAATGTGAGCAGGCGAATCATCTGTGTTCTGATGCACTCCAATCACTCTCCACGTTTTGAGCCCCACCCCCCACTGCCATGCAGTGTCAGAAAAGTAAATGTATAACAGAAAATGTTTGTCAGCTTCTTTTTTAAAAATTTTGGGTACAGTCATGGCTGTTTATGTTTATTACCACGCAACCTATTTGAAAGTAACGTTCATTCGAAAGCTGGATCACTGGCCATGGCCCATTCTCTTCCATAAAGGGTGGTCGACCTCTCGCGGCGTCAAACCGTCAAATAACCCGGGGCATGTCATGAGCTCCGAGTCAAAAGCGTCAAAAGCGGAACCGCACGGAACATTTCTGCCATCCAGTGTTGCCTGTTCTCTGACAGAAACTCAATGTTTCGTCATGTTCGCGGCTCTCACCTGGGGCGGGCTAGTGTAGGGCAGCCGACGAGCCGCGACCAGGCCGGTGCGTGTCACACTTCCTCGACGGGGTGGTCCCGGTGCCCCTGGCTGGACGTGCCCGTCGACCTGGCTCGACCCCTGCTGCTCGGGAAACACTCGCTGTTGCACCACGAGCCGGGCCCGGTCGGCGAGGCCCGGTTTGTTTTGTTTCGGCTCAACAGATTGCTCGGCGGCGGGGCCGGCCGCTCCGTCTGCACGCGCGTGCGGACGTGCGAGGCGTGCTGGGCGCGGGCCGGACGCGGTGTGGTGTGGGGACCGGCTTTTTGCCCCGAGTCGTTTCGTCCCGACTCGACTCAACTCGATTCGCCGGCGAGGCGCGGCGCGGCGCGGCGCGACGCGACGCGTTTGCGGGGGGGTCCGCGCGTTGCTCTGCTCGCTGGGCGGGTCGCCACCGACTGACGGTGCCGGACGGGAGGAGCGCGGCCGAGGCCGCGCGCGCAAGGCGAGACGCGCTGGGGGAGGGCGCGGGGCGGGCCCGGGACAGGGGGTGGAGGCCGGCGGGCTGCACTCGAGGGCCTCGGCCTGGGCTGGGCTGGGCCCTAGGCACTCGCGCACAGCCTTTACTCTTCAACGCAGTCGTGACCTGTCCCCGCCCCAATCCCCTCCGCCGTGCCCTTGCCCCGTCTTCCAACTCCCCTTGCGCCCTGCTGTCACTAGGACCCACTCGACGTGTCGGGTACTACTCTTTCCTCTTGACGCGATTGGGCAAGATTGGGGAGGAGTGGTGAGTGCCGCGAAACGTGACTTCAAGTAAATGGAAACTGCCAAAGCCAGCAGGCTCCAGACTCAAGAGGCGGGGGCGCCGGCGTGAGGAGTATGCTGTCTAAGTCGATTGAGGGAATGACTCCTCGAAATTTGCACTCTTTGTTTTCAGCAATAAAAAAGCATAGTTTTTTGTGGCAGGTCATGTGTCCCTTCACTGTCTCTCATTGACAAGAAGGGTGTATATGAAGTAGGATAGGGATGTGAAAAATATGAGGTAAATGTATGTTTTGAAATTGACGGTTCATTTAATACTTTCATGATGACAGTACATGATGCCAGGAAAAAGTAGCCATGAAAGAGAACAAACCTCAATTGGTACAAAGGCTACTCTAATCTGTACAAAATTCATTTTACATTTTGCAGAAACTACACAAAATTAAACCAAATGAAAAATTTAAACAGGAGTGTGGGATATGATAGAATGCATATCAATCTCTTAAACTATGTAGGGGCAGCTTGCTGCCATGACAGAACATGAGCTTCACTTCTGCTTTAATACAAACTACAGAACAGAAAATTTCCCATTTAAAAATATCAATGCTTTTCAAGCAATTAGTCTATTAATTCATTTACTGTTTAGGGATAAAGCTACAACTGTTTTACAAAATTCATTCTAGCCAGAATATTTTAAAATGGGAGCTAAATGATGTTTACATTATGTTAAAAAATAAACTGTAAAACAAAATCAACATTCAGATCATAAAGACTTTTTAAAAGGAAACAAAAAATAAACAAACAAGACAAAGCAGATGAAAAGAATACAAGAAAGACTAAAATCCTTTAGCAATGATGTTGCACATCTTGCCCAAAATATGAAATAAATTAAAAGGTGCTTATGCTCAGGTTGAGTCTACATATGTTTTATGGGGATGCCCTTACTTACTTTAATGCATCAGATTAAAATACTTTCAAAACAATAAAAATTCAACAATAAAGAATTTGACATCAAGGTCTTCCCTGTTGCAAGGGTGGGAAAACATTAATGAGCTCAGCTTTAAATTAAAGAGTGCAAATAGGAAACTGCTGTGCTGCTGTGAATGTTTTCAGAGTGAATGAGAACTATTTTGTTGTACCGCAATACAAACTAGTGCAAAACCCAAGATTAACAGAACAAAGTTCAAATAATTTTTGAAAGCTGATCCCCACAAAAAGGATAACAAACCCTACAAGGTTTTCAAAAGGTTTAGTTGTTAGAGTAAATAACACATGGCATCAGTAACCAAGGAAAAGCATAGGATTAGTGAATTCTCCAATTCATTCACAGAAATAGCTAAAAGTACTGTAATTACTCAAAATTTCAACAAAGTTTCAGAAGGTTCTCAAAAAATATTCAGACAGAGCATTAGTATTAGATAGAAGTTCCCATCCCTTCCTACATACATAATATCCTATGCTTAATTGACAACTTCAATACAAGTGATATGATTTGAATTTCAATGGACTCAGCCATTGCACAAGGACACAAGAAATCAAAATATTTCACATTTTGCTAGGTTGAGAAATATCTTCAACATTCAATATAAAAAGAAACATAGTTTCACTTTTTTTAAAAGGAAAAATAACAGGAAAAAAAACATGTTTTAGAAACCAAAAATCACATATATGTTAAAGATACTGAGTATCATAAATTCATAAAACTAATTATAAAATCACAAACATGGAAGTATTATTAAAACTGATGTCATATGGATTTCATTATTGAGCCTCCTGCTTAGCGTTTGTAGTACATTGTTCCTCTTCGAACATGGGAATGATAAATGAAGTATGTACTCATATCAAGTGAAGTGAAAGTCCTTAAAGATTTTTGCACCTTTCGTAAGAAACAAAAGCTATCCAGCTTTACACATATACAACATATACAACAGCACACTATTATTAACTTGTGCGTTAAGTGTTTTTGAAGAGTTTTTCAATACCATTACGACATCCACTTTAAAACATAAAAAAAAAACAGTATTGCCTCTACAACATTTTTGGTAGGTGCCCGCCAGGTTTTCAAAGCAAAACCTGGTGCACAGAGAAGTACCTCAGTTAAACTGATGGTCAATAAGTACTTGAGTATTGCTCCTCTAAATGAGGTTTTGAATTTGATTCCTTCAGACTTTAAAGATAAATAATTAAGATCAAGGGGAGGATAACATTGATCTTCAAGGTGCAACCATACATCTCCAGGAATTAGTTTTTGTTACTTCTCAGGTCTAATACTTCACTATACAAGCTCTGATCATACCACCTGCACAAAGAAGCAAACCCACATACATTCCGAGAAAAACAACACAAAATGAAGACTATGGTATAACAGAGGCCATACAATCTATAGAGGTGAAATGTTTAAATACATATGCAAATACACATCCACAGAATCATTATCACAATCATAACTAATCAAAATCACATCCAGTTACTACTAATGGAAAGTCAACTAAAAATCTTACACACAGCACTGGACGAGAAAATTACAGTCTAAAAATTCAAACTTCTGGACTGGAAGCTTCACTGTTCCCAAATTTAATTTGGAGGTCAGCAGGTTCATCATGCTCACTTTCGGTATCAACAGATACAGTTCTTGAGGCAGGCTTACGACCTGTGTCTCCACTAGACATCCAACGCTGCTTGCATGACTCCAGTCTCATGATCTGAAATAAATAAAAATAAGGGTTATAAGAGGGGTTAAAAGGACAGGCCTTCCCCAAATTTGTTTCTGCCTTCCCACCTAATTCAAGACATGATCCGTATTTGATACTGTGTCTAAAATACCAGCAAGACGAGATAGTAAAAATACAGGTCATAGGTCAGTTCCTTTTAAACAGCACAATTTTGAAGAAAGAAAAAAAAAGAGAGGAAAATTTTATAGAACTTTACATACAACACAAACATGCCTATCAAAGGAAAAAGCAAAAAACCTTCTACTGTCTTTAAGAACTGTCTAAAGGTAAATCAACAACACACTAACAAATAGATAGATACTCGATAATTAATCGAAAACATACACAGTAGATACCAAGACATGCAACTAGGGTTCAAATTAGACTAGATTCATCCCTTTGATCAAAAAACAATAGAAAAGACATTATTACTGCAAATCATTGGATCTGTGGATTTAAACAACAAGATGACCACAAGAGTTTACACAGAATTTAAAACTCCAATGTAATACTGTTCCAAAACTGAATGTTAGTTCATGCAATCAATATCGCTTTTAATTCAAGGCCATCTTGCATATTAAATTGTGTCAAATAAACAACACACACACATATGTATTCTCATAATATTTGTTAGTAGTACCCATAGCAGGCAACAGATGGAATGAGCTGATGTCAAGAAGCCATGCCAAGAATTAATGAAGCTGTTGATAAAAAATTCATTTTCATAATTATATATAGATAAATATTTCCAAAACATATTTTAGTTTTTAGACATGGTGTTTTGTTTTCAATCACAGAGAGCTACTGAAATAGTAATAATATTTTTATATCTAAATACCTAAATTAAAACTTTTAGAATGCTTCCATTTCTTTTAAACTACCAGCTTTTAAATGGAATTTTGCACACACATTACCTACAGAAGATGGGCATAACAAACATAGTGATGATCAAAAAATTAGGGAAGGATATTGCAGGCGCCAAAAGACCATGCACAATGCTACAAGATAGCCAATTTGCTTTTGCTTTAAGACAGCACAGCATGGCACTTACTCCGGCCACTTCCAGGGTTCACATGGGCTCGTTGGTGTCTGTAGATTGGCAAGGTACTGAATAACACAGTAGTGTTAGGACCCAATTAATAAAAAAGAAATCCCAAACATTAACAATTTTTTGAAATAATAAAATATATAGATTATTTCCATTATAAAATTTTTGTTGTTGGTTCTACAAATACATTAGTGGGCCAGGAAATAAAGATTCCCCACGGTTTCATGTTGGTAAAATGAATCAATCTAAATCAGCTTATGTCTTTGATTTGATATTTGCTCTTACCTCTGCTTTCAGCTCCGCAACTTTATCCTGAAGTTCTCGCACTCTATCACTGTCATCAAGATTACTACGTAATTCTCCCTCAGCAACCATTTCTTCATTCTAGAAAAAAAGCCATTGAATTTATAACCATCAATAAAACTAGAGATGCACCATGAAAAATTTAGAATCTTTTGTGTCGTCTGCATACCTTCATTTCTAATCTAGAGATCTTCTGACTTAGTTCAGCGACAGCTTGTGCATGTTCAGCATCTCTTATTCTTGCCATCATTGTTTCATCTTTCATCTACAAAATTAGCAAATAATGGCATAAGAACATGGTCTTGTACAGAAACTGAGAAGTAAAATTGAATTTGCGAGACCTATTACCTTAGATTCTAAATCAGCATAGCGATGCTGCTGATCTCTCAGTTCCCTAGCTGCCTCACGCTCACGAGTGGCACATAGCTCAAGTTCTTCTCGCAATTGCTTGTTTTCAGCATCTTGCCGACGAAGTTGATTTGTGCTAACTTGTACTTGGGTTTCCAATTCCATTACTTTCAGTCTCAGCTCTTTGACCTCAGTGAGAGTGTCCATCTCTCGTATCCGAGTAGTCATTAGCTCTTCCTCTAGCCTCTGAGTATCAGCACTTCGGTTGTCCCAAAACAGGAGTTTTTTCGGTGTGGAATCTGGTGGAGGATTAGCCTCAACCCTGTGCTCCTGAAACAAAGATTTTATAAAAGAAACTTTTATTGGAAAATGTTATAGCCAATTTAATATCAGATGGGATTCTAGTGTGCTTACTTGAAGATGTCTTTGCCATTGAGCACTTAGTTCTGTTACTCGCTGGCGCAAGTCTTTAAGTGAGAGGTTTGCCTCTGCTTCTCGTAGCTTTACAGCAATAAGTTCTTCCTGTAAATGTGCTACAGAATTGTCAACGGTTGACTCCCGCAAAGTTTTTTTATCCTATAAGCAAAGAGGTAAAAATATTAATTATAAATGTTTTAACTGTTTTATCATTTCGATTTTGAATGCGAAAATTTACCTCTTCTAGCTCCTGCATGCGTGCTCGCAAATCTCTAATTGTTGCCTCGTTTTCTGCCTCACGAAGTCGAACTTTGACAAGTTGTTCTTGAAGACACTCAACCATTTCTTCCTTTTGAGTGAGCATTTCACGCTTTAGGGATACTTCATCCATGGATGATTGTGCTGAATTGTGCTATTAAAGTAGAACACATGTCTCATTTAGTTCAAGTAATATGAAAGAGCTTATTCAGCTATTTTAGATAACTAAAAATTTGCTGAAGATTTTTGCAAAACTTACAGTCTCTTCCATCATCATAGATAGTTTGCTTAGTTCCTCTTGAGCAATTTCAAGTTTGTGAGATGTTTCTAGATGAGTGTGTCGCAAGGCAGCTAGCTCCCTCTGTACAACAAATGTAGTTTCCTCCTCCTCTGCTCTTGACACCTGTCCCCGAACCAGTCGGTCAGCTAATTCACTGGATTCTGCTTCTAACAATTCTACTCGCTGACGAAGAAGACGATTCTCATTGCGAAGACGCTGTGTAACAGTAAGAGACAGGTTAGTTATTCTGCTGGAAAAGACATCACATACAAGTCATCACAAACGCTAGGAAATACAGTTCACCAGAGGAAAAAAAAGTATAGCTTTAGACAAATTATTGATACATCCAACTTGCCTTTAATTCAACCATTTCTTCTTGCTCCTTCGTCTTTAAAGCGGTGTACTCTTTCTCCAGCTTCTTCATTTTCTTGGAGTTAAGCTTAATATTGTATGCCATGTTCATGAGACTGTCAGGATCCTCTTCTGCTCTTGGTGGTAAATCTTTTTGGAAGTACTGGTGTGGAGAGGTAGTTTTTGTTATTTCAAGTTGGATTACACAGGTATCAGTTTGCACACCCAATTAAAATACACTACCTTGAGCATTCCTTCCATATCTAGACTCAGAATGTTGTCTTTCGCAATAGTTAAAAGAGCCAATGCCACTTTAAAAATTATTTCCATCCCTTCCAATAGAAATACATCCATTATCCTGAAAATGTAGTTGAAATCAGTAAAAGCAAATAAGAAATACTAAACACATAGAGATAAAAAAAGTAGATGAAAAACACACACCTGCAAGCTACAGGAAGGGGCATTGCTGTGGTAAACAGTGTTAAAAACCAGCTACTAGCATACATGCTGGTGTGAAAGCTTTGTGATAAAAAGTGAATATGTAAATCTGGTAGGTGTTCCTGAAAACGAAACAAAAAAATAACGTATCATCAAAATTTGAAAGATTAGAACACATTAAAATGGTCATTTATACTAGAATTATAAATATTTTTGCATGATTGTGTTGATTTACCTGAACTAAATTTTCTAGCTGATACATGTAAAGGCCTAGTTCTGCCATGGTAGGTTTAAACATTTCTCTTAAACGATAATCCTGCATAAGCTTTACTAAAACAGCAAATGTTTCCTCCTCTGGCATCTGAAGAAAACATAAAAATGTTTTAGGTTGACAGAATAATAGTCACTACTGTAACTATTGTTATTAGGTGCTAATGGATGTTATATGGATAAATTTTGATCTTCATCAAGAATCATTTATACTTACATGCATGAGCAAAAGTCCAACAATAAAACCAGAACCTTGACAGTAGCCTACTTCACGGTCATGTAAGGAATAGGCTTTCATAACGTTAAAAAGGCTCTCTTGCCCAAGCCCATCCTTTTCTTTGAAGAATTCATGCTCAGGATAAGTTCTAGCAATGTCTCTACGGATCACCTTCTCACAAGCTGATGTAGCTTTGATATATTCTGCATACTGCTTCGTAATAGGCGATTCTTGTGCATTGCACAGTCTTTGCCAGACTGTCCCACGCAATTTGTTCGGGATACCTTTTCGTACAAGGTCCTAAAAGCAAAACAAAAAACGAGAAAATTACACAAAGCGTAAGGAAATTTTTAGGTAAATTTTTAAGCATTTTCTTATTACTACATCACTTAAAAAATTAATTTGTTTCATACCCGGACATATTGATTCTTCTTCTTAAAGAAATTGTCCCAGTCACTGACAACCCGGCCCCAAATAGTCCAAGCATCTTCTTCTGCATCTTCAGTTCTGTCTTGACTTGAGCTTGTGCCTGGCAAAGAGTTCAATCTGATCATTGGACTGACTTACAAACCTAACTCAGCAAGAAGAGGGACTTGGCGAGGGAGTGCCTCAAAATGGACATCAATGTGTCAGATAAAAGATAAGGCATGATAAGAAGTGCACCCAGTATCTATAAGGAGAACACCTCACTAAACCATGGAGAAATAACGCAAGAAAATATAACCCCAATCACACTTACCGGACGTGAGGGAAATTTGCGAGGTGTCGGAACTCTTGCGGGAATGACCACTGGTTCCGGACAAGGAATTTAAGGATTTGGCATCGGCTTCAATGAGCCTGAAAACGAAACAAAAATAAACGAATTAAGAGAAACGACAGAAAACTACACACACAAAAAACAAAGCAAAAACTGACAACATGCGACCAATAGGTCGGGGGCTTACCGATTTGCCTCCTCCAGTTTGGCTAGGAGAGCCAGCTCGGCCGTCGATAGGGAGTCGTTGTTGTTGGGTTCGGCGCCCTCCGCGCTGTGCTCGGCGCTGTGCTCGGCGCTCTCCGGCTGCGCGCTGCTGCCGCCGTTCGTGTCGGCGTGCGTGGCGTGGGTGGCGGCGGCCTGCACCATGGCCAGCTTCACCTCAGCGCCGCCAGGGCATTCCCCGGCAGCGGCGGCAGCGGCCCGGCGGCGGGGCTCGGGCGCCTCTCCACCCCTGCGGCCAGGACCTCGGCCATCCGCAGCGGTCGCAGCACCGGGGGCACCGGGCCTGCGGACAGAGAGGCAAACGTTGAGGCACGACGGCTAGAACAGGCGCTGCAGGCGCTGCTGGCGATGAGTGCGTGCCCTCACGCGGGAAAAAAAACGGGTCGTGACCACAAGGTGGTCATAGGGTGCTGGATTTGCCCTGCCCTTGATAATAGGCTATTAAATAAAAGAAAACAAACTTCTATGCTGAACGTGTCAGTCGCAGAGGTTGTGAGCGTCATAACACTTTTACCAGGTGGCTGACTCACGCCGCGCCTTTTGTTGTTGTACTGTACCGCATGCACGCGCGTGTGGGCGGGTTGTCCACTCGCACGCGTCATAAGGAGCCGTATGGGCAGCGACGATAGGCAAGCCCGCCCGCACCCGTGCATGCGGTACACTATAACTAAGAAAGTGCGTGGAGTGAGTCAGCCGCCTAGTATTTTTAATAGTTTAAACATTGTTATGATTCCACGACGATTTTGGAGACATATTGTTGGAGTGTGAACAGCGAACACACACAAAATTCTCTTTCCAATCACAGGGTCTGGGGTGGTCTAGGATGGTATACAAGGGATACATCTTGAGAGCGGTCGTTTTTATTGTCACACCACAAGTGTGGACGAGGTCAGTGTCCGGCCTGCCTGGCCCGTCCAGTCTCCAGCGCCAGACGCAGGCTAGAGAAAGTCCCCTGCTGCTGCTGCTGCTGACCGACCCGACCCGTCCCGTGCCGCCGCAGCCGCGAGCTGCTCCGCGCGGAGTCAGTCGCGGCGCCGCGGGGAGGTCCCCGATGTGGGCCACAGCGCGCCCGCGGCGCCGCGCGTGACGGCATGGAGGAAGAGCAATCGCTCGAGAAAATGTCCGAGCTTTATATCGACGACGTGAGGACACGACGACAGCAGTGCCGGCCACGCGACTAGACATGACCGGACACCGAGAGCAGCAACGAGAGAGAAGGGGGGGGGGGGGGGGGGCACCGCGCGGGTCAACGCACTGACTTGCCTTCCTAAAGCAACGGGATGCGCGGCGCGGCGGGGCGGGGCGGGGCGGGGCGGGGCAGTGAGTTACGGGGCTCAGGACTCCCAGCAGGACGAGACCATCACGGCGTATACACGTCGCGGCGGCGGCGGGCGCGACTAGAATAGCGACGCCTTGTTTGGGACTTCCCTCGAGCCTCACTGTCGCCTCCCGCGCTCGTGCCCCCGCCCCCTCTCCCCCATCTCTCCCCGGCGCGCACGCGCCGATCGTAATATGCACGCAAAACAAAAAGACGTGCTTCTGACAAATCGCCAGCAGTATGTGTGTGAGAGAGCTCGGACGTGACGACCCAGTCCCGGCGGTATGTGTGCGTGTCAGTCACGTTGGTTGTGGATCCTCCCGACAAGTTGCCCCCATTTTTTTGACCGACTTGTATCGTTCTCCGAAAACGATGTCGTTCGCGAGCCGAGTCGTAACGTACCGCAAGTCAGTCCACCAGGAGGCAGAGGGGGGGGGGGGGGGGGGCACCTCTTGTCGAACAAGGCGTGGGGCGGGGCCTTACCAAGCTCTCCTCTGCTGCACGACGCTGCACATGGCGCTGCTGGTGGTGGTTCACATGGCGGCGAAACGGGCTGTAAAGAGACAGTGTCACGATGACCTTTGGGGCGCGTATAGGACCCCAGGGCACCCACCACCACCACTACCGCCTTCCAGGACGTGTGCACCACCTTCACTATATACTACAAGCAGACGCACGCCTACACCCACCCCCAAACCCGTGCAGAAAAAAATCCTCATTGTTTCACAAACTAACGTAGGAGTACGTGCAGCAGCCCGTAGTGGCTGAGCTTTAGTCGTTAGTGTGCTAAAATTCTCAAATGTGACGGTTAAAGGAATATAGTAATAGAAATGTACAGATGGGAGGCCAGGGAAGAACAGGAAAGAGGGGGGGGGGGGCACTGGAAAATTTAAAAATGACCAAAACAAGTTTGGTTTTAGATTTTCCGATGTCATTTTTAGTTCTCAGTAATTGGAAGTGGGGGTGTGATGACTTTTGACTTCTACAAATGAATGCTGTTAGCAGATTCAACTTGCAATGTAACAAACAGTAGGACAAACAAATATCGTATAACTCTGGGTATGGCAAACCCTTGTCACAATCAGCTAAAAATATTCTATTCAATACCCTCACTTGCCTCTGCGTGAAGTGAAATTATATAAAATAATATTAATTTGAATTTCTTTAAATGTAGTGAAACACCTCCCATACTCAAAATATAATTTTTCATTCTTCGATTCACTTTTACCTGATCCCTCTGAGGCGTTTTGAAGATAACGAGTCATTGTAGTTTTTTGATTGAAAGTTCTGTAATATATCTTATCATAGAATGTAATTTAAGTTCTCTCA